ACTTTATATAATGACCTAGACTGAAATATGGTAATATTGTGGGTTTCAAGGGTGCTGACTTTATATATGGACCTAGACTGAAATAAGGTACTATTGTGGGTTCCAATGGTGCTGACTTTATATATGGACCTAGACTGAAATATGGTAATATTGTGGGTTCCAAGGGTGGTGACTTTATATATGGACCTAGACTGAAATAAGGTAATATTGTGGGTTCCAAGGGTGCTAACTTTATATATGGACCTTGACTGAAATATGGTAATAATGTGGGTTCCAAGGGTGCCGACTTTATATAATAAGCTAGACTGAAATATGGTAATAATGTGGGTTCCAATGGTGCTGACTTTATATAATGACCTAGACTGAAATATGGTAATATTGTGGGTTCCAAGGGTGCTGACTTTATATATGAACCTAGACTGAAATATGGTAAAATTGTGGGTTCCAAGGAGGGTGCTAACTTTATATATGGACCTAGACTGAAATAAGGTACTATTGTGGGTTCCAATGGTGCTCACATCATGTATAGACCTAGACTGAAATATGGTAATATTGTGGGTTTCAAGGGTAGTGGTGTGTTACAGTGTGGCTCATATTGCCGAAAACTTATCTTGAAATCTTGTGGATAACTTTTGTGTAGACACCTCATGCCACATTATCAGCTACTAAACGTAAATCTAAAAAGCTCAATTTAAACAAAAACAGCAAGACTGGATAACATTTTAAGTTTATCTAAAATCACAAAAATGAATATGTTCTCTGAATACAAGTATTTTTTACAGTAAAATTTAAGTTAAAAACATTCCATTCCTATTCAGTTCAAGCATCAGCCACATAAATCCTTATAAAGACATAATTACCATATAAGGAAAGATTTACCATATAAGGACATACTGACCATACAAGGACATATTTAACATAAACACATGTCACAGTGATACATCAATATTCATACAATTATAATATAATTCTACTTATTAAATGAGATATCTTGCACAAGAATATAAAGAGACTCGCACTAAGTGGTCAGAATGCGGTCTTCTTGTGGTTGTGAATAAAACTCATTATTGACTCTGTGTCAATCATGAAAATCTGAAGACCATGATTCCTTTTGTTGTAGTGTTTAGACCCTCAGAGAATCGACCATGGCTGCACTTCTGTCAATAATGTCCTTATCAGGTCATTAAAACTGAATGACTTTGTTTATTATTCAACCCTCACTTGACAAATGCATACAAGCCTGCACTTATGAATCAGAATCATTTTTACTAATCTACAAGATATAGCAAAAAATTTAAAATCCGGATTGATACGAGTGGAATGAACAAAATATGACTGACCAGCGGGAAAATGGTAAAATACTATAAGAGATAAAAAAGACAAGAAACTTTAATATCCTGTGGCTAAGCATTTTTGTACTGCATCCCAACCAGGGTATTTCTGATATGAGCATTACTGTAGTTCGATTGACTAATGGTAACGACTCTAAACGATTCAAATTAGAACAGTCACTCATTTATCAACTCTGAGTGCTTACACCTGGTGGCATGAATACCCAATTTCAGGCTTTCCATGTGATATATTGCCCACATGGTTCTTTTGTCTGTTTGTATAGCATTGTATTCCCGTTTCTTGTCCAGTTACACTGACGAAGAGTTGAACGCGAAACGTCTGTCTCTTTTTTTATCTCTTGTAGTATTTTACCATTTTCCTCTGGTCGGTTATATTTTGTTCATTCTGCATTTTTATACTGCTGGCAGCATCACATTTTATTGTGTGTTTTTGTGTCTAGTTTGATACGAGTGGAAGTATACACATATTTATATTTGACATATCAAATGTTTATAAATTGTAAATGGAGACTGAAAACAACCAATTTCAGCAAATGAATCACTAATTTTTTAAACAAATTAGATGGGATCTACCTTTTGCATTCATGGCAGTGAATCATCCAAGCATTGAATAAACTTGCAAAGACTTGTGGGTAATGGGCATCACCAAATAGTTTCTATAGCAAAGCGCAGACATGTTTCATCAATATTTCGAAATGTCCATGAAACAAATTCATGCCGAAATGAAACATGGTGTATCTGTACATATCATTAATAAATTTGGGGCTTAATCCATGATTACAACAAGGGATACATGTCATCAACACTGACACACACAGCTGTCAATATAAGGAATATATTCCTGTCTGTAAGACTATGATCATCATTCATGTTAAGTCAAGTCGGTATGAATTTTCTTTGGTTATATTGGTCAAATGGTCAATAATACAAGAACATATTCAAATCATATTCAAAGACAAGAACATATTCAAATCATATTCAAAGACAAGAACATATTCAAAATATATTCAAAGACAAGAACATATTCAAATCATATTCAAAGACAAGAACATATTCAAATCATATTCAAAGACAAGAACATATTCAAATCATATTCAAAGACAAGAACATATTCAAATCATATTCAAAGACAAGAACATATTCAAATCATATTCAAAGACAGAGCTTACGTTCATATCCACATAAATATATCACCAAAATTCTGAAGAATATTGACTGTTCTATAATATTAACTTGAAAATTTTGCTAAAAAAGTTGGTTGGGATTCACTGTAAAATTAGTTAACAAGAATACATTAGCATAGATGTGTATAAATAATTAGCATAAATTAATGAAACTGATTTAGCTCATTGCTTGACCAATAATAATTAGAGTCTCTCAGTTTCATCATTGCTTGGAGCAGAGGCACCTTCTACCACTACCATATCTTCCTGTCCTGGTTCTTTGTTTGTTTGTTGGGCTTGCCTCCACTCAAATATTCTGGCTTTGAGTTCAGTGTCTGGTTTTACTTGATCCATGGTCAGAGGGCTTCGATTAAATGGATCTGTCATATCACTAAAAGAAGTTTGCAGAAAGCAAATTTATTTTCAAAAACAAATATGAGACTATATACAAAACCATGTAATTTGGGAAATGAATGGTGGGTAGTGATAAAATGAACGGTGGGTGATGAGATGATAAAATGAACTGAGGGTAATGATAAAATGAACTGTTGGTAATGACAAAATGAGCTGTGGGTGATGATAAAATGAACTGTGGGTAATGATAAAATAAACTGTGGGTAATGATAAAATGAACTGTGGGTAATGATAAAATGAACTGTGGGTAATGATAAAATGAACTGTGGGGGATGATAAAATGAACTGAGGGTAATGATAAAATGAATGGTGGATAATGATAAAATGAACTGTGGGTAATGAAAAAGTGGACTTTGGCATTAAAATGGTTAAACATAACGATATACCTGAGTAAGTGTCTAGCAATAGTTGTTCTGTCTACAATATGACCAGATGTTGGTAATAGCACAGGGTCTATCATTAAGGTGTCCATAATAGGGTCAAGAAACTCCTCTGGTATTTCACCAAATAACTCTTCCTCCTTTTGTTGTTCAGTTGCAAACTCCTACAAATGTTTTTTTTTAAATTCAGTTAAATATATATTAATTATTGTCATTAAAGGGTTTACACCAAATCTCAGGATGTTATTCCAACCAGTTGATACAAGAAAGCCTCAAGAGATGACAGATCCTTGGCTTCTTTTTTTACAAGCACTGATTGAACGTCTGTATCTCCAATAGTGTTCCAGATTTGATAGTTGAGGTCACATGACCATATGTGGTTAATAATTATGTTGATCGGATTTAGTGTGCAATGTCTTCAATAAAGCACTGGTTGAATGTCTCTATCCACAATAGTGCCCAAGATATATTTATGCATTTTAATATGGTCATATAACCATATATGGTCATTAAACATGTTGATCAGATCTGTGTGAATGTTTTTATTTACAATGGTGCTCCTGACATGACTTTGTGCAGACATACAGTTGTATGGACGGATGCTGGTAACCACTATATCCCCCATGCACACTTGATACAAGGAGATAATAAACTCACCAATTTATAAATGAATTAATAAAACACAGACAATCCATGCATGGGTCTTGCTCAATAATTGAATAGTAAATTCTGTAATTACTAGAATCATCACAGTTGAATAATCATGATCAGCAGGTCATATGACATACATAATTTTTACCTTGACTTTCTTTGCCAGAATTTCCACTTCAATCACCAACTCAAATTTACCAATTTTTCTGAGTACTCTGATAGCTCTTGCAAATAAGTTATCACTGTATGACCTGCCATCACCTGATACAGCAGCACAGAAACTGTCTGAGTTACCAAGATTGATGTAAATTTGACAAATATCTGACACCAGTACTTGAGGTTTGAAATCTAGCTCACTGAAATCTTTTACTTTCAAGGACCCCATCTTCGGACCAACCTGAAAGAAACACAAATCAATAAGCTATGTATGGCACAGTCCCTGTTAGTTATCAAACTTAAAATATATAGTTTTGTTTATAATAATATAGTTCTAACGTAAACATGTCAGAGATATGGATCCAGAAGCTGATGGTTGATTATATTGATTTTTTTACACATTGAAATAATTGACATTCAGTCATCTTGTATCTGATCGAGTACTTGTCCATATTGAGAAATATTGCTCTGGAACAACATTAATTAAAACAAAATCAGCCATTTTGAATACATTTGTATATCTATAACATGATGTATAATGAATATATAAAATCTGAACATAATCAGTCAAATCATGTCAGAGATATGGCTCTAGAACCTCATTCATTAAAACAAAATCCAATTTTAAATCGACCTGAAAAACAAACAAAATGATGTGCCCAAGGTCCCATTAATGTCCAATATATGTACCAAGTTTGAACAAAATCCATCCATAATGCTTGATTTTGATGATTTTTCAGCACAAAAATGGCCACCATTCGGCCATCTTAAATCAGATCGTGAAACAAATTGATGTGCATATGTATAATATTAAGTATGTTGTATGTGGGAAGTGTAATCGGTCAAGTTATGTCTAAGATATAGGTCCGGACACACAAATGGATGCACACACGGAGGTTAATCCATAAGTTCTCATTTTCGGACTGTGTCCGAACGAGGACTAATTAGAGGTGATTAGAAGTAAACTACTTTTCACTCAGGCAGTATGATGATATGAGGTTATTATAAGACCAAAGGGTATGAAATATTGCCATATTGATAGAGGTATATGGGTATACCACTATACAATATTGTCATATTACTATGTTTATATCAAGTTATTACAACATAGCATCGTGCATTGTATTAAGCGAAGGTTTGAATCAAACCAACAATGGACTAAATCAATCAAGCAATGATCAAGAAATTATTATGCATACAACAAGTGACTGCCCCTCAAGTGACTGCCCCTCAAGTGACTGCCCCTCAAGTGACTGCCCCTCAATTTTGAAGCAAAATATCAAACTAGCAGCCTCTCGGTTGAGATATCTCCGCTGTTATCAATGCACATTGCAATTAAAGAACTGAAGATAGAAAATGAACAATATGTATAGTATTAAAGCAATCAGACTTTTTATAACTTTTTATCAAAAATATTCATTAAAATGAGATAATTGAAGAACAAAATCATCACAAAATGAACAAATCTGAAAGAGGTCTACCTGTAGTACCTTTGTAGTTTATCTAATATCAAAGCAATTAGACTTTCGGTTTTTAACAAGAAGTCGAAAATATCACTTTTTACCAAAAATGACAAAAATATTCATGAAAATTAGAGAATTAAAGATATCATCATGAAATGAACAAACCTGAGAGAGGACCACATGTAGTACCTAGATATGTAGTATCAAAGCAATTGGACCTGCAGTTTTTAACAAGAAGTCGAAAATATCACTTTTTACGAAAAATGACAAAAATATTCATGAAAATTAGAGAATTGAAGATATCATCAAGAAATAAACAAATCTTAGAGAGGTCCACATGTAGTACCTAGATATGTAATATCAAAGCAATTGGACTTTCATTTTTTAACAAGAAGTCGAAAATAACTGAAAGGGAACATCTTTTTTGGACAAAAAACATGTCAATACAAGATGGAATGCGATACAGACAAAGATTAAACATTACTGATAACAACCAAGAGGCTCGAATCAGGAAGGCTTGGCTATTATAAACTTCGTAAATAACATTCTTTTCAAGCGTAGACTTTATTCGAGTCTAATAAACGTAAATGAAATGTATTTTAACGAGTAATAATACGCAACAACAATTCGTATACAGCATTGGTTTTATTGGAGTTTTATGCTTTTCGACTTCATAGTGAATTATTTTTAGCGTCATATTTGAAATAACGCGCTCGATACAAGATGTCGGACAGGACAATTGGGGTCTGTAAAAAGTTTGTAGGTTCAGTCAGGCAATGTGTGGACCAAAACATCGCCCACTATTTGAAACATCGCCCATGGGCGGGGTTTAGGACGGACGGGGTATCAGCCGAATCCGGTAATATTAGTACTGATGCATTTTTATGTCCAAAAAAGCTAGCACTTTAAAAAATAAGAGGATGCAAAAAGGTTGTGTTATATTCTTACCAGATGCAGCAGGAAGTAATTGAGCATTGATGCCACTCTGTCTACCATTGTGGTATGGGTAAATATAGACTTGATTTCTGAAAACAACAACAAATACAAATAAAGTATGCTATGATGATTTGACACTTAAGATACTCTATTAATACAGCTATTCATTACTCAGAATAGGTATCATCAAGACAGCTATTACCTCTAGTAAGATAATCCAAAGTGTGCATTGTATCATTAGACATAATGTTGTGAAATCTAGCCAGCTGACCATAGCCATGAAGCATAGAATCCTGGCGTTGACGCTCTTGTCGTCCAAGATTGTCCCATTCTCCAGAATCATGAGCTCGTTGCATGTCTTTAACTTGAGTTAAAAACTGAAAAACAAGAAATCAATATAAATGACATCTCTATCTCTATGTCTAAATGACACATCTTAAGATATATGGTTATGAAAAATGGCACAAACCAATACTAGTGGTAAGTCTAATTGCAACAGTTTTTTAGATGGCATGGAAAAGAGACGGATCTGAATAGTGAAGAGTCTGGCATAGAAAAGAGGTGGGTCTGGGTGGTCCATAATCCCTTACTTGGAGACGATGGCGTGGAAGACAGATAGATCTGGGTGATCTTACATAAGGTAGCAAGCATAAAAGAAAAATGTCACTAGACATCCAACGACCCATTCTGAGGTTAGAATGGTAGATGACTCTGGGGAGACAACAGCATTTAGATGAGGTTGGAATGATTGAGAGTGCTCTATAGCCACATACATGTTACAAGGAAGAGGTTGCCATGAAAAAGAGATGAATTTGCGTGCATCATATACCCTTAAATGAGGTCAGCATAGATAAGAGATGTATCTGAGCACTCAATTAAACACTTTACAAGAGGAAGTCAGCATTATGAGATAATTATGAACAATACCATACATAAAAGAGAGCAAAGAAATAGAAAAGAAATGGCTCTGGGCACTTCACACACCCTTACAAATGAAGTCAGCTTAGAACAGATTTAAGCTTTCCATGGAAGAGAGATGCCACTGGGTACCCACAATCCCTTACATAAGGTTGGTAATATAATGAACAGAAACACTACACATGATATGGCACTAAATGTAGTGGCAAATGTAACCTATACATACCTGGAATGCTTCATCCAATAGGTAGATAGAATCATTCAGTAATAAGTTGATGAACCGTAAAAAAAGTGGAGCATTTGTATCTTCAATGTTCTCCTCTGCATATTTAGCTAGTTCCTATGAGAAACAAATTTACATAACAAAAACTGTTATTGGTTAAAATCATGGCTCCGTCTGTTTTCAGTATGTAAATGACACTCAAGGGTGAAACACCACTCGGGGGTGCTCAGCAAAATCACTCTTCTTATTTTTATCGATCTAGGTGAACTAGTTCAGTTACAAGAAAATGAAAAGATGAAGCTGTGGGTACTGGCCTGGATTAGTTCATTGGCGGATGTGAAGGGCCTGGATGGTCAAGATAACAGCGGGGTTCGTTCAAGGAGCTCATCAACAAATACATTCCCGGCAATATGTTGAGTGTGCTTTTCGAATTCAATATATGGCGCAAAAAATGTTACGTTCCTTGAAATATATCCCCGCAGTGAAATGATTGGGCACAGACAACATTGCATAAAAAAATATGTGCATGTCCGTGTTCAAGACCTTTTTGTAACGTATAGGTTGTGCATATATTCGTGTATATTGGGCATCAGGCAACTGAGTAAGCCCATGCCACACAGCCGTATCACAAAGTTTTTGTTTTGTTTTTTATTTTGTTGGCACCTTTTTTTCACATTGCATAACGTCATTATTGCCGAGCCGACAACCCGCATTATGGCAAATGTTGTACTGTGCGATAACTACATTGTATAGGTCATTCAAATAAACCACAATTATTTATGACGATGCAGTTTTTCATGCAAGCAAAGAGCTAAATAAGGAGCTCCATGATGCAAGTAAGAAAATGCTTTCAAAAGATTGCTTGGGCCCCATGAGCGTTTTACAATACGATTCAATAAGTCCTTTCAAATCGGATAATAGCATAATGCATGATGTTAGCTTACGGAATTAACACCTTTGGTTGAAATGATAACAACTGTGTACCAAGTAAACAACTGGGCAGACCATGCAAATTACATTTCCTATGATGCACTGGTGCAATCCCTAGGATTGCAGAGTCGTGCTTTAAAGGCTATGTAAACATAATTATAAGGATTTTTATAGTATATTATGAAAACAACTTATCACTAATATAACTAAAATAACTAACTTATTATTATAAATTTATCAAAAAAGCTGAAAATAAAGCAATGAAATTTCAATTTGCATAATTCCCATTAGGGTCACCACTAACAAAACTACTGGTAGTCTCAATATGATCATTGGACTCACCTGAAAAGCGTACATCTCCCTGATCACTGAATCAAGTCAGGACTACCGGGTTTTTAAGGTGAAATGAAGGGAAGATAAAAGGATCAAGAGGCAGATGGAGAAATAGAGAGGCATATGAAGAAATAGAGAGACATATGGAGAAATAGAGAGGTAGATGGAGGAATAGAGACAAATGGAAGAATAGAGGCAGATGGAAGAATAGAGGCAGATGGAGGAATAGAGGCAGATGGAGGAACAGAGAGGCAGATGGAGGAATAGAGGCAGATGGAGGAACAGAGAGGCAGATGGAGGAATAGAGGCAGATGGAGGAATAGAGAGGCAGATGGAGAAATAGAGGCAGACTGAGGAACAGAGGTAGATGGAGGAAAAGAGGCAGATGGAAGAATAGAGGCAGATGGAGGAATGGAGAAGCAGGTGGAGGAATAGAGGCAGGTGGAGGAATAGAGGCAGATGGAGAAATAGAGGCAGATGGAGGAATGGAGAGGCAGATGGAAGAATAGAGGCAGATGGAGGAATAGAAAGGTGGATGGAGGAATAGAGGCAGACTGAGGAATAGAGGCAGATGGAGGAATAGAGAGGCAGATGGAGGAATAGAGGCAGATGGAGAAATAGAGGCAGATGGAGGAATGGAGAGGCAGATGGAGGAATGGAGAGGCAGATGGAAGAATAGAGGCAGATGGAGAAATAGAAAGGTGGATGGAGGAATAGAGGCAGACTGA